GTTACTTTGTACTCGAATATTTGTAGTCTCGGGAAAAAAGTGGAAAGACAAATTTTTATGACAAACGGATAGATAAATCGTATATTTAAGGAAAATAAATTCTAGAGCTTTTTCTGTACCTCGTGCATCTCTCTCATTCATTAAATTTAGTCGTAAATGATGCTACCAAAGTAACGGTTAATTTTTAAACATTACAATAGCAATCTTATTAATTTTTTTCACGTGTAGTATAGAAATTTGTAATAAGATACGTAATGCGGTTATAATAAAGTATTGCGCGATTATTTTCGTATAATTAAAATTAATATGTATTTATTTTTTAGAAAATACAAGGGAGCGGCTCATCCACCGCTTCAAATGACGGCACGCCACTGTACCAGACAATTCGATTCGTTACACATTTCAATATTTTTTTAAAATAAAGCTACGTTAAATATATTTTTTTTTCTTACTTATATATGAAATCCTTTCTGACAACCTTAATGACGATAAAAATACACATTCTTTATAGTACACTAGCAAACCCATCACGCATTGCTGCGATCTCAGAAGAAAGGAAATTCAAGCAAACTCGTTATGATCAAATTAAATTTACATTTTATCATTTTTATTGAAACTTATTATTATTATATTATTTTTTTTTAATTATTTAATTGCTCCTTCCTCTCTTCCTTGGCATGTTGTGAAATTTCTGATAGTTGGATAATAAACCGTTTTATTGTAATTTGTCTTTTTAAATTATTTTGAGTCGATATTAAAATTTGGAAAAGGGAAATACCTAGATCGGTAAAATAAAATCGGTTAAAAAAAAATCGAATTTCATCCTATAACTTCGGTAGTTGTTTGAGGGGGAAATGGCCTTCACAATTTAAAATCGATCGAACACACAGTGATATGCTCATATGAACGCGCGCCATCTATCGTAGGATAAATGTACTATGCCAGAAACCTTCGCGAGAGTATATTAAACAACTTCCCAATGTTTCATGTCAATCGCATAAACGGTGTGGTAATGCATGAAGGGCATACAGACAGATACACAGACAGACAGACAGACAGACAGACATTCATTTTTATATACAGTATATAGAGAATACAAATTTATTTCTTCTCTTCATACATCAATAAATTTTCTCTGTGAAATGCAGTTTTCCTCGTGCAATATTTAGTGTGCATTTTTAACATTAAGTAATTTTCTCTTGAGTATAACTGATAATAAAAGCTTTCTTTAAATTATCGTAAACTTCGTTAAAATTTTTACAGTGAAATCTAGTTAAATACTCAAAGCACTCACACATTTATTTTCTAATTATTCCAGTTTCAAACCGCATAATGTTCTCGTTCTTCTTGATTAATTTTATGTTCCTCTTCATCTTCTGTTGTGCTATTCAAGGAATTTAACGATATATTCACATAAATTATATCAAATATATCTCAATAAATCATACGTAGATCAATTAAGTATAAATAATATAACATGTAATTATTTTCTTAAAAAATTCCTTAATAATTTCTTACTTAATAATGGTATCGTTTAAACGAATTCTTTTGGTCTCGGGTAAAGGTAAAATTAAGAAACCAGACGAAAGAGTCAATACACCTATTATAATAAAGGGAACGCTCCAGTACACCTTTTCACTCTGTGAGAAATACAATAACATTATATTGTAAACAAGTATAAATAAATTAATCAATGTTAAAGATGAAAGTGAACTCCTACAAGATCCTTCATAAAAGGTGCAACGATCGCTCCGATTCTGGAAAATGTAGAACACGATCCGATACCCACGTTACGAACTACAGTCGGGTACAATTCTAAAGTAAATCCATATATTGTGTTTATTGCAATAGACACGCAGCATCTGCTTAACACTACGAAAACAATCCTCAGCCATATAAGATCTGTTTACAAAAGACCGTAATATTCAAAATTGTAATAATATTAAAAAAAACCAGCAGTTTCAAAACAAAATTACATACTTTTTAATTAGAATAAAATTTAATATTGTTGATGCTAAAACTAATTTTATCGACTAGTATGATTGATTTCAGATTTACCGTTTGGAACAGCCGTAACGAGTAACGAAGTGACGCCCACTAAAAGGTATGCAAACATCAAAATACGTCTTCTTCCAAAGCGAGGTAAAATAATCTTCAACACACCAGAAACACAAAATTGTAATGAGGAAAATAAAACAAAAAAGAGAAAGATGTTTCCTCCTGTGATGTCTGCATTCAATGACAATGCGTAGACGTCGAACATTATTACTAACCTGGAAGTTGTGGAAGAGATTCACTAAGGTGTTTAAGTAATTAGAATAAGCAAAATGAAGGGAGTCAGTTGGAGTGTGTATCCCTCCATTTTTTAAAAGTGAAACGTTTTATTAACACAATCAATGATTTAATATTATTGTATTCTAAATGTAGTTTCAAATTCAATTTATACAGTTATATTATTAACAGATGCATTACAATTTATTACTTTAAGAAATGAAAAAAATAGACAAAATTATTTTTAATAAACGAAAAGCCCGTAAAAAATGCTTACCACAAAATGTACATGATGAAAGTAATCTTGCGTAACTCTTTATTCCTGATCAAGTGCAAAAAATTCATTTTCCTCTTTTCCTCGTTCTGTACAATGAAATCACATATAATAGTTAAAATCATATCTAGTGTAAGTTTTCGTATATATTAATTATACATTTTTAGAAGTTTAGAACAATGTTTTGAAGTTTGAAATGTTTATTTTAATTGTCTTGTTTGTGTCAATGGAGAGGGCTTAATCCTCTTTACCTCCCATGAATGCGACCTTCAGTTCGGCGTTGTTTCTATCAAATAAGATTAGAACAAAACTATCGCATCCCTTAATTCTGATAAAAATAACAGATTAAAATAACAATTGTCTAAATATAAAAACAATCAAAATAAATTACTTAATAAATAACTTCAAATTGAATATTAATATCATCAAAATACAATGTTAATCGAGACCAAAATTACAATAAAACGGAAGTTTATAAGATATAAACAACTTTAAAAATCCAGCAATGAGTTGCATAACTTTCCAGGCGAAAAATGTTTATGTTTCAGAAACACTAAGACATATTAGCACAAAGTTAAAATTGTGTATGAGCCATACATTACAAGATTTTATTAGAATATAATTCTACAGACATTCACTCATCCATACAAGTACACAGATTTTCTTACCAGTTTTTTCATTTTTTGGGTTTAGGGGTCTCATTATCAAAATTTGCACTCGAAGAGTCAAATTTGACACACGACTACAGTATTTTTTCGTGTTTCATACATAACATTCGGGATCATAATTACGAAATATGTGAAGGGATATGAGATTGTTTGAATTCATTTATTTCATTAATACCTTTTTTTTAAGGGAATTGCGTAATCAACTGTAAAAACATAGAAAGACAGATTCTATTCCTATTGTATACAAGAAATTACCAGATTCTCGATGTTCTAATTTACTAAGATTACGAAGAGCATTAATTGCAACCAAGTTAGAGAAAAAATCCGGGTCGTCTCACCGATTGTATATCGGTGATTTTTAATTAATATCCAATCACAACTGCCGTTATACCTAATTTCAAATAACACTGTCAGATTCCAGGGGAAAAGATGACTGTTCGTCGCTTTTACCACTCCGAAGACGGTTTCTTTTTAATTTCTACAACGAACACACATTTATTCTGAAATATATAAAATATTTATGTCCCTTCTTGACTATTTTTAATCTCTAGGTAATAATAGAACCATTCAAGGCAGCCGTCACGGGTATTCGTTATATGCAATTTCGTGTTGTATTTCAAAACATAAATTAATTTTTGTATAGTTTTAGAACTTACTTGGAATCACAAACAAAATGCTGTTTCCCAAACAGTTTACAGTTTTTATTGTAATATTTGCGATGTTACTAACGATGTGTCTGTCGGTACCACGATAAAATAATAGCAAAATATATTTTGTACATCTGAAATACAATGCTCAGTGTACTTTATAATAATTGTCATTATCAGGTGAAAGTATTTTATTAAAAAATTTCAGAGTTTGTCATTTAGTACAAACCTTAAAGTACTTATTATTGAAATCGATTTACCGTTTTAATTTTCCAATAAAGTTCTTCGATAATTTCGGTTAAATCTTCCGCATGCATTTTATTCATTTTCATTATGTTACGTATAACTTTTTCGGCTTTACGTAATCTACCGTGAGTTAGGAGCCATCTTGGAGACTCGGGAGTAAAACTAATCAAAAGATATTTTCAAAACATATAAAAATAATTAACACATTAAGCGTAAATAAACGTTACCTGATGAATGCGAGTAATAGAATTGACGGCAAAGTGCTGCATAACTGAATATAAGTCCAATCGTTGAGAAACCAAGATATTCCGGGAAGTATAAGCAACCCAATACCAAAAGAGAAACAAATAGTTACCATGCCCTTTTCTCTGTGTGTTGGTCCAACCACTTCCATAACTGTATACAAAGATCAGTTAGTATTGTTGAAGAAAACGAAATCGACGTTAAATTTATAAATATGTGCTGTACAGTACGTAAAATATCAACTTAATTATAAAACATTAACATAGAAATTATATATGATTTGACAATATTAATTGCTTATATATTTTGTGGAAATCAGGATCAAATACATGTAATTCAGTTGAATGACTTGAAGTTAATACATTATATGAAACATAACTTTAAATTTACATATATTTATAAAACAATAGTTCTTCGCTATTTGCAGCTATAAAATTTTTATATTATTTATCTGATTGAAACAGTTTAACTTAATACATCTTTTGTACAGTAGAACCTCGATTATCCAGACCTCTATTATCTGGATTTTCGATTATCCGAATTCTTCAAAATAAACAAAACTTTTACGAATTTGCTGATTTTCACTTGGAGAATTACGATACTGTTTATGTACGCGATAAAATGCATAATTTTTTTTTTGTTTCAACAACGTCTCACCGGCACAGTGGCTGTAAACTCTTAAATATATTTTACGTAGTAATAAAAATATAACTTGACATACGTATTTATAAATAATTTTATTTTCAAATTACATCATTTCTATGACCAAGGGCGGCTTAAGGCATGGGCAACCTGGGCCGCCGCCTATGCCTCGCGGTCCGAAGGGCCTCGCGTTTCGAAGGTTTATGCATTACTTAAAAGCTGCAAACGCGAAGAAAAAATTTTACTCGTCAAAAAACGATAAATAGTTTGTCAAATTTTTATTCATAAAAATGCAGTTTCAACTGCTTTTTATTATATAAAATCCGTGTTCTTGCGCTCCAGAGGGCCTTTTAAACAATAGGTAGTCTGTTAGAGCTGGTCAGTAGTACTCCAAATTCAATACGAACAATTTATTTCTTGAAAATGTGATCACGATTTAAATACAGTATTTACTTTTAATGTTACCGATATATCATCGAAAAGAAAACGTGTTGTATTATAATTAAAAGACAAATTAAAGTAAGTGTTTCGATTATCCGAATTTTTACTTATTCGGACTACCTTCATCCCCAATTAGTCCGGATAATCGAGGTTCTACTGTATTCATAAAATCTTTTAACTATCGAGTTTTCCAATTTTTTGCAATTAGTACAAATTAAACTTTTTAAAGTTCTTGCATACAAATCTAAAGTTTTAAGATATTTGTAATTGTAACAACTAAAAATAAACTTAGATCGTCACTTTAATAGTTATTTTTATGGTATAATGAAAATGAATTTTTATAACTTTCATCATATGAATAAATTAAATAATAAATTGCAGCGATATATGTAAACACTATGAAAGTATATTTTTTTCTCGTAAGTGTACGAATTTTAATTATGACTTACCATATACATACAATGTCAGATTAGATGCTGTGATTCCTATAGACAAGAAGAAACGAGATACAGTAAACATCCAGTAATATGGAGAAAATGAACAAAGAATTCCAAAGATTATATGAAACACAAGTCCGGATATTATCACTGGTCTTCTTCCATGTCTATGAAAATATTAAATATAATTAATATGTATTTTAAAACTAAACGTTTTAAAGAAATTAAAGACAAGTTTTCAGACCTATCGGATATCTGTCCAGATACAATAGCGGACACGAGGAATCCCACGAAGAAAGAAGAACCAGCGAGAGAACTTAACCAAGAACTTTCACAAACTAAATTCCACTGAAAATTGCGAATAGAATTAATCTTCGAATATATGTTTAAGTAAAGTTTTTTAATACTTACCTTTTCAATGACACTACTTTTGTATTGTGAATGATCGTATTCCCACGAGCGACAAGGAATCTTTGAAAAGTTCTTTCCATATTTGATATCGTCAATATCGTATACCTCACATCGACTATGCGTTGTTCTCCCGTTTCTGATTTCCAGGGGTGCGCTGATATTTTTCCACTCCTCCACGGTCAAGTTCACGTATTTCGGTGTTCTCGCGCACCAATAATCCACCTTGTACGCCAAGAATGGCCAATTTAAATTGTTTAATGCCGAAACAATAATACACCATGCCATCATCCCGATTATCATCATCTGCCATTTTCCAAATGGACCGATAAGATCTGTAAAGTCTTGAAATTCTTTCGCAGTTTCCTACAAAACCTTACAATTTCAATATTTATCAAATTGTATATACAGTAGAGCGTCGATTATCCGAAAGTCAATCATTCGAAAGAATTCCAGTCGGCAAATTTAAATTTTCGCCAGTGCTGTGGCGCTGCAATCTTTGGCTATGTCTTGGGCTACTCAAATATTTTACGTTTTTGATACTAAATTAACTCTGAAGTATAATTTTTATTGTTTTTTTATTTTTCAATATATGTATTTTGTTTGTACCAAATAAAAAAAATAATTTTTAACGATACAATAGTCTTCGTTAGGCTTAACATCGACGAAAATTCAACGCGAAGCGACACGCAACAGATAAAAATTTCAACATGGGATAAATTAATATATTTATACGTGCATAATCGGTTATCCGAAACATCGATCTTTCGAACAACCCCAACCACCAACTGATTCGGATAATCGTCGCTCTACTGTATTACATAATGTAGCTGTTTAGGGCAAAAAGATTGAATCTGCACAAATAAACTGTAGTGAAAACTGATAGATCAATCTGTTTGCAGGTGAATTCTAACCAATAAGCGAAAAAAACATTTTTGATTTTCTACTATATTGTGACAAGTGAAGTAATGGCGTTACAACAATGTATGTATTTGCGTCTCATTTAAGAATGTTGAATATAATACTTCATATATTATTTATCGTATTGGGTGTGAATGAATTCTTGTTGACAATAAACGAGAATCGGAATAGAAAGAGATAAAGGATAAGTACGAATAAAGTTTTTTCTACACTTATTTCCATTGATTAACCTTTATAAAGATTGGTATGTATAGTTTAAAGAAATAAAAGTTTAGGTGTAAAATGTTGCAATTTTAATAAAGGATACACTACCAGATTGCATTGTTAATCACTTTCATACTTTCATTACTAGCAAAATGCCAAAGAGGCTTTCAAGCTTTGACTATACTTTATGAACACCGAACTTCATGATGTTATTGAAAATTTCAATCCAGCCTATGGAAAAAACCGGGAAAACTCGCAAATTTTGGTTTTAATTTTTTTCGACTTCTAAATGATTTGGGTGTAAAACACCAGGTTAATTTTTGATAACCTGAGATAACTTATGTAGATTTGATACCAATGCCCAATGGGAAAACTGACAGTTAGCAGAATTCGGTAGTAGCGAGCCAATTCTATATGTTTGTATACGTAGAATTTACAGCGATGATCCAGTGACTGTAATGTTCTCAATGAAATGATACATTTCTTTGTTAGTATTAATTAACTTGTGTTGTCTTGTTTATTATTTTTATCAGTTGCATTATTGTGTAGTTTTAGACATCAAGTTATATATATGGATCACGTGTTGTAGATGAAACTCTAACTCTGTTGGCTATGTTTGACATATGGGACATGATTATTTCTATGTATATATATTTATTACTATTCATAAGCAATTTTGTTTCTTATGTTACAAAAATCTTCAATTGTAAGTAGTCGGAACCCATTCGGTTTCTTACTTTTGAAACCTATGATATAATATCCAAATGGTAGGCAATATTATATGTTGAATATTACATATACTAACAACTAATATAATTTATATTAGTTGTTTATAAAAGTAAAAAAAAAAAAAAATCATTGCAATATTATTAATTATAATTCTTACCTCAACTTCACGAGTTTCGTTTCTGTCTTCTTTCGTTGTATCCATGACGTTTCTCATTAAAGTTGTGTGAAATAAAATTTACACTGTAAACAAGGCATTGATATAATGATAATTAATAAAATACATATTAGAATTGTTTTTTTATCAATATGGCGAAATGCAAGAATGTATAGAATTGAAATTTATTGCTAAGTAAAAACGAATAAAAATATAAAATGAAAATGTCGGGATGATTTTAAAAACGAACTTTTCCAATGAAATAGAAACAAAGGTACTGTACATGATGTGTTCGGAAAGAATTGCGAAACAGCAATCTTTTGTGTCAAGAAATACTTCACATAAAAATTTCACTTGAGGTTTATGAGCCGAAACTTTTTAACTAATACGTTACTTGATATTTAATGAAGTGTGTTTTGAAATAAATGATATATGAATGTAAATTTTAATGAATATTTCAACTTATAAAATAAATAACAATTTCTTATTGTGCAAATTCATTCTTTCTGCATCTATATATATATTTTTTTTTAATCAACAATAACAGAATTTCCCGAAATGCACGAACTTAATAAAAACACTCGTTGAGCCAATTGCTTCATTATACATTTTCCGACTTTATAAAATATGTTTTAGTTAATACAATTCGGTATTAACTAAAATATATTCGTTTCGTATACTTTACCTTTTTATATTTTATCGACATTACAAGGTAAAGTATACGAAACGTCGTCAAACTCAACCTGTGTTTTAAATCTTGTATCTTTGAAACTCACTAATCTTCAAGTACGTGTGACAATTGACGAAATGTTTCTTCTGATAACAAAATCTGAACCCTTTCTCACTAAATTTGTTTTTTTCTCAAAACACTTCCAATAATTTTAAAAATATGTCTAATCATGTAATAATTTATCCTTAATTTATTGTAAATAGAGTACATGTACAGTACGAACGTTAGTAAATTTAGATAAATTTTCTAATTGTAGTAGTACAGAGTAGCCATCATCTAGGGTAAAAGCGTTCGTCGCTGTATAAGTGATATAAAATGGGCGTAGGAAGGCTCTTATGACGAGTGTGTAGTATATGTATGCCATATAAACTCCTAGATGTGAAACAGTGAGGAAAGAATGCGTGTTAAACGCAATTAAAGCTGGAGACCTTTTGCATAACAGCTGATATTTTGAAATAAAGAACTAAAGACGTTAATGTTGTTTCAAAGTAACATAAGGAAAACGAAATTTGTTATTAAATTTTTACTTTTATTTTAAATAATATATAATAATTATATTATCGTGTCAACTATTTCTGTTACCGCTCACGTGTGTGTAGGGAATTGTGGAAGTGACGTCACGCTCCACAGTTCCCCACCAGTCAGGGAAAATTTCCCTGCGTCAGTTGTCCCTACGCTCTTGTCGTGTGTACGCGTGTTCGCTGGCTAACGACACCATTTTAGCATTTTTAATGTCGCTTTCTCTCGTAGATGGAATGTATTATGGTGAATTAAAGTAACTCGTTTTGTTAATATCGATGAGTGCCTGCGTATTTCTTAATAAAGTTGTTCTTAAACGAAGCAAATAGCCGGAAATAAAAAATCGTTCGTAACTTTTAAACGGTTGATCGTAAGTAAATTTTTTTAACACCAATCGATTCAGCGTGTCAAATTACATCTAGATATGTCTATGTCTATTCGTTAATATTAAGTTTAAGACCTTTTTTTAGCTGGATACCTTTTCCTTTACTCTAACCTTACATTTTAATACAGTACGAAAAAAGTAATATGCTTGTAAGCTTAAAATAGATTTGTATTAACTATATATTATAAAAAATACATTTATAAATAAAATACAGAACTGGGAATGGTTATATGTAGTTTAGCCTAATGACAAGTAAATTTAGAGACAAGTAAATTCGACTTAAGTCGCCTTTCCTGGAACCAATTACTGACGTAAGGTGAGGTATACATGTATTTATTTTCTCTCATTTTTTTTACTAATTTTACAGAAATATGTAAATATATAGGCTATATTATAAGAAAATGCTCTGTCATATTGACACCGTTTTCAATACGTGAAAGTTTACTTAAAGTTTACTCCTTCCACCGATCGAATCGCTTCCTGATGAATAATAGCGAGGTTGCGGCCGAAGTTTTCATCTCTAAAACGTGAACGTCGAACGTCGAACGTCGAGCGCCGCTCTGTAAGCGGCGCTCTGTAAGCGCTCTGTAAGCGGCGCTCGACGTTCGACGTTCACGTTTTAGAGATGAAAACTACGGCCGCAACCTCGCTAATAAATTTAAATTTGCAACATTATTAAGATACGCAATATTAAGATAATAAAAAGATAAATCTAAATATATGAATGAGCACGTTTGCTTGATTTATATAACTACAAAATTTATCTAACGCAGGGGGTTATCATACCGAGTAAACAATCTAACACATTATTAAAATTTTCTTCTTGTACTGAACACAATTTAAAGCATTTTATAATGTGTTCGAGTGGGCACTCGGTGCGATAAATCCTTGGTTAAGATAACGATTGTAGTTACGTAAATCAAATACTATAATATAATAGAAAGGTTAGAAGTATGAAATAATTTAATAATCTTAATGTTTCTATTTATATTTTGCCCGGGCAATTTATTGCACTACTCCGTTTACATTTTTTTTTATCATATAAATAAAAATTTGTTTAAATTAAAGAAATTTTTTAAAAAAAAGTTAACTCATTGCTCACTATTTTTTATAAATTTTCTATTTAAAATTATTAAATATGTATTTTAACATTTGGAAAGAATTTCTTCTTAACTTAGCAAAGAAGAAAATATCGCTGTTATTATAATTAAACTCACCTTGTTATGATTGGAAATGAGGGAAATTCTTGTTTTGATATTACAAATATAAAATTTTGGCGATATTAATATAAGTATCTATACTATATTAATGTGATAGTATACTTCTCATTCGTTGCATGTCTCTTGTACATCTATTTTCTAGAAATCTAGCTCTGACTTGCTTTTTTTCACAAAATATAATTGTCATGATAATAAATTATTATTCATGAATAAAACATTAATATTCTTTGCAGACACACTAAGGTGACATATATCAACACTTGGCAACTTATTGACTATTTATTCAGTTGGTAGTTAACTCCGGCGAACCCGGATTTACGCGGTTTTCAAATCTCGTCGATTCGTCTTTTGTTTGAGCACCACGCAACTCTTGATTACTCATTCCCTCCACACTATTGTTCAACTTACATGTTCGGACGTGTCGCGCGGAATCGACACATAGCTACAATTTATTTTGTGTTATTTATTTCTGTGTTTGTTATATCTACGGAGACTCGGGAGACTATGTAGTGACACAAGAGGAGATCCTACGTTGTATTCTTTTTCCACAGGAAAATTTCTTTTTGCTGTGATATTATAATGACTTATTCAACATTATATTGGTACTAATAAAAATTACATTCAATTCCAATGCCTCTTGGAGAATAACTTTATTGCCACAGATGAAATATGAAAATATAGCAGAGTCTGAATAATTTGACTATTCCATGCATCGAGAAATGCGAATTAGTAAGATTGTATAGAGACCTAAGGAAACGAGTGACGAAAAAGAAATTCAACCCTTGGGCGATCTGCCAACGGGAAGTGTTTCCTAGAAGCACTTTTAATGGAAAATTGATCCATACTTAGGTATTAAAAACATGAAGAAACACAGGAAAACTTCATGGCTCCGTTGATGAGTTGTGAATCTGCAGCTAACTACCAGTTCTCAATGCTTCTATCCACTCAGTTACTGATGGGAGATTCTTCTTGGAGATATACTAGTTTTATTATAAAAGTGTAGTATTCTTAAAGTTTGCGAAAATTAAATCTCTTTCGAGAGGCTTTAGGAATAAATAAACTTAAAATTTATCTTAACAATTTTAAAATTAATAAGTATTTCAATATCGATCGATTTTTTTTATTTTTACTTTCATGGCTGTTATATATAACAGAGGGAAAGTATGCGATCCGGCTAAAACTGACCGCCCTCAGATTTTTAGTCATGGATTCAGGACAGCTCGGAATGTCGAAAAATGCAAAAAAAAAAAATTGAGTATTTTTTTCTGTATGTACGAATGTTAGTGTGTGTGGTGGGGGCACGTTTGCTTTCTATCAAAAATATTTGAAATTTTGCAGGGACGTCTGAGTTTTAGGGATATCGTTGCTATTTAATCTTGGTGATTAAAGGTCGAGGGCGTGGAGAGATAAAGAGGGTCGTGGTTATCTCCAGTAGGGTAGGACTTAATGACTATTTTACTCGTTATTAGCCTCAAAATTAAGCTTTTTGCCATTTTATAATAGTTAAAAATATAAAAGGCTTTTAAAATAAAATATAAAAATACATGGAACCACGAAATGTTACCAGGAAAGTTGAACAAGTCATTACTAGATTTATTATTATAATAAAAAATGATTGCTTTGTTATCGATCACTTATTTATATTATGTCACTATAGACCAGTGTTTTTCAACCTTCTTGAATACGCGACCCCTTTGCAAGTTAAAAAATTCTGGCGACCCCCCAGGGCCATATTAAAACTATATCAGTGATCTTAAAAACTACGTATTTAATTTTCTTTCCTTAAATATCGATCGAAAAACCAATTGTACTGTAAAATAAACAGGCACAGCCTTCTCACTGAAATTCTAGTTGTTTTTATTGTAGTGTAGGACCTACAAACACTTGTCTTTTTCTTTCACCCGCGACCCCCC